ACCTTAAAACCTTTTATACTCATGATGTGACTCAATTTCACTGAGGATTTAGTCACTAAATGGTGAGTTGTAGAGCATTGATCATGGATTTTAGCACAATATAGCAAACAGCAATAGCAAAAAGTAGAAGAATTCTGAAGCTAGACTATATGTTCACTTTTGTTTTTTGCTAAAATGTTTACTTCCCTTGACATTTCTAAAAAATACCAGATTTATCCAATAAATCTATGAAATGTTTTCTGTCTCTCTTATAGGTCAACAAACTAATACGTTTATACCAATCTTTTAAATATATTTCAAATACACATGTACAATACATAGGGGTGGTCCTGCTAGGGAAGATAAGAATGGCAAAACTGTAATGGATTTTTAAAAATATAAATGTGGTTTACGCTCACAATTTGTAAGACCAAAGAGAGCCCTCCGAGTAATGCTGGTTTCAGATATGCTCCCGTGTATTCAATTCAGATCCAATTTTGGGCTATATAAAAAAAAGAAAATGCAACCAGATAAAACAGGCGCAATATAAAATGCAAAAAAAGCGTTTCATGCCACCAGGGAAGTTAATACCAATTTGTAAAGTTATGACGACTTTGTGTTTTCTACACAGTTTGCTGTGAAAGTCTCTTTTTTTGTATCGATATTTCAAATACAGACAGATCCTAAATAAAGATATAATTAAGAATCACATCCAATTTTCCAGTAAAATCGTGGTCAGGTAAATATAATCCGGTTTATTTAATAGACTGCACTAGTTGTTTACACATCATCTTCTCTTCCATTTACAGGTGACTCCTTCTATGGTCATAGAAACACACCATTTTCTACCAAAGATAGAGATAACGACCGCCATACAACGAAAAGCTGTGCAAATAATTACAAAGGTGCCTGGTGGTATACGGAGTGCCATATATCAAACCTGAACGGATTGTACCTGCGAGGAAATCATAACAGCTACGGCACTGGGGTAAACTGGAGGTCGGGCCGTGGTCAAAATTACTCATATAAGATATCAGAGATGAAGATCCGACCTCAGTCTAACTAACTGCTAACTGGTAGTCACTGTATACATGGAGGAAAACAATGTATTCGAATGTCAAATTCTGCTCCATATCGAATGTTGACTGTACTCAGGCAGATGGTCTGTAAACTAAATTGAAGATCAATCAAGTAAATGTTTAGTAATACAATGTTCCTCCCCATTCTGATGTTTTGTTTTGTTTTTTAAATCCTTTCATTGCTTTGAAAATTATAAACAATTTAGACATTACAATTGTGAATAAAATCACATGCGACAATGTGACACTGAATAATCAATCAATGATGTCAATCCATCTGAATAAAACAAGAAAAATAATATATGAATTGGTTACTGCTGCCTTCGTGTCATTTTCCGTTTGTCTTCGGACCTCTCCTTGTCCCTGTCGAGGTTTGCTGGTGATATCTCAGTGTTGGTTCCCTACTAGTCTCCCATCATCACTCATGAATGTCTCCAATAAATAATTTTTTGTCAATTTGGTTGCTGCCAATTCCAGTTTGTAGATTGGTAAGACAGGTTTCCCTGGAAGAAAGACAAGCAGGACTGTGCATTTGCAGAGCACTATTGAACAATTTGTGTATTGGTTATAAGGTTATAATGCCGTGTAAGGCTTGCCAAGCAGAGTCGCACTGTTTATACATTTGTTGCATTTTTCTCTGGTATCCCCAGAAGCCGGCCACCAAAGAAAACACCAGGAACAGCAGGTGAAGGACCCAAAATCAGAACTGTACCACGGTAGAATAAATGTTTGTTGGCAAGTAAGTATTTAATCTCCACTTACTCCTCTGCCCACTTCATTTTCTCTTACTTTTCTTCTACTGTGCCTCTTTCCACCATTCATCCTTGATTGTGCTTCAGTATCCCATCACTTTATGGGTTACTCTTCCATGTCCCTTACTGACCCATTATGTCTCGACATCCTCCTCCTCGTATGTACCTTCCCTGTGTGTCTCCACATACCCTCTCTTACCCATACTCCTGTAGCCATGATGATCATTGCTGTTCCAGAAGCAGACATTCCCCTTCCCCTCGTTCCTTCAATGTAGTTTCAGTGCCAGTGCAGGGTTAGTGGATATAAAAACACGACATCATGTTAAATCCTCCACTTTCCTAGTGCTGGCAGCATGCTCAGAACTTCACTGGAAGAATAAGTAAAGGAAACGGGCATGGCCAATGCAATGGTCCGGCTTGTCTGAGCTTCAACGGTAAATGCATTGGGGGAGGGGGTGTACTAATAGGATGTGGTACTAAATGCCATGGAATTCTGTTATTGGCACCCCATGACAAATAGAATGTATAGCACTCCACCTTGAAAAGGTACAATTTCTAAATTATTTAAGGCCCCTTCAATGAACATAGAGTATAAAAGGGTCAACCGTGTCCCAACAGATATAACCTAACTGTGCCTAGATTACTTTTTTTTTTTTTTTTTTTTGAGGGAAAACAGTTTGGGACAAGAGGACCAACAGAAAGTTGAAATATAGAATTTCTTCAGCAAATATCAATTGGTAAAACAAATAAATTGCAGTTTTAACTGAACATTTTGTATTTGGGCTCTTTCTACATTAAATCCAGGTAACTGTCTAAACCATGGGTCCTCAACCTGGTCCCTACCGCTCAATAGTGGGCGTTTCAGGATTCCAGGTGGGCGGTAGGGATTTCCTTATTTGGAGAGATTGGGCGGGCGGGTGTGAGCCGGCGTTACCCCTGCGACTTGGTACCGCCATCACCATCTGTGGCCCCGGTGGCAAACCGCTAGGCCCGTCGTCCAAGGGGCCAATCAGGTGGTCAATGCTGTCAGGGCCACCTGATGGATGTGGATTGTGAGGGGGCCCGGTCATCAATGGGTGCTTTAACAGCGCAACCAGACCCCCTGTGATTACATCACAGAGCTGGGAGGAAGTGACTCCCAGCTAACACCGAGAGCCGCGCGGGCGGAAGGCCAGGGAGTCAGAGTGGGAACTCTGACTCTCATCCACCTGAGCCACCACTGGACTCCAGGGAATGTCACCCTGCTGTACCTTAAAGGTAAGAAACGGGAGGGTGACTTAAATATAATGTGTTTGTTTGTGTGTGTGTGTGTGTGTGTGTGTGTGTGTTTGTATGTATGCCGTGTGTGTGTGTCTTTGTATGTGTGTGTGTGTGTGTGTATGTGTCTTTGTATGTCTTGTGTGTATGTGTCTTGTCTTTGTATGTATGTGTTGTGTGTGTATGTGTCTTTGTATGTATGTCTTATGTGTGCATGTCTGTGTGTGTGTGTGTGTGTCTGTATGTTTTAGTGGGCTATAGTAAGTGGGCTACCTAGCTCAGCCTTCCTACTGGGCATTGCTATAAGTAAGGTTAAAAAAAAGGGGGAAAAAAGGTGGGATGGGGAATTGAGGAGGGAGAGGAGGGGAGCTGACGCACAGATGAGAAATCATATTATGCACAAACAAAGAAGTCGTCTGAATATCACCAAAAGAGGAGACCTTCGTTTGTTCCTAACGAAAATTGAACCAGATATCAAATATTTAGTCTCGCAGCATCAACCTCAAGGATCTCAATCACTAGTAAAGGTAATTTCAATTTACTTTATTATTTTCTCATTAAACTTTATAAAGTTAAAAACATTATAAACATGCATTAAGTAGAAATAAATGTACGTACATTTATTTATTTTTTTTAAACGCTCTCCTTTCTAAAAACTATTCCGCGCTTGCGCGAAAACTGGTGAGCGGTAAGGAAATTTTTCCATCAAGAAAGATGCATTAGTGGGCGGTAGGAAGAAAAAGGTTGACTACCACTGGTCTAAACTGACCCCACTGGGGTCGGGGTGGGAGGCCTATACTGTCATGTCCTAGAAAGGTGACCTTGTATGTACAATGTCGCAGGTAATAAATAATGTAACTTTCCTGTTCATAATAACTTGTTTTGATGTTTTTGGGGCGAGGAGTTGGCTACATGATGTCTAGCTTTTCTAATATTTTTATTCTTTGCGAGAAAACAGCAACATAACTTAAAACACACAGTTCATATAGATTCTGATTGTTCTCAATCCATCCCTCGAGAAAAAGGGGTAACATCTGGATTTGAACAAAAGCGAGAAAGCCCAAAACCCTGTTATATCAGGAACTGTTGCTCCAAATCTTTTGTTAACGCCCTTAAAATGGTCTAAAATTTAATAACAGTCAATTATTCAAGAAACAACCGAGCATACAATTGCCCAATTTCACAAAACGTCTGTCGTTCCTAAGGAGTACTAGAAATAAACATCCTTACATTAAAAGGAGCACTCTAGGTAACATACCCACATTAACTCTTTGAAGTGGTTATGGTTATCATGATTGGAGCGCTCTGGCCCTCTCCCATGGTACACTGTGAAGCCATTTATTTTTCCATAAATAACTAGAATCCCAGCCGCTCACTACTTCTTCCTTCTATTTGTGATCTACTTAATAAAGCCCTGTGTAACAATAATAACAATATTTCTTCCTTGTGATAAGGGCAGTGATTGGCTGAGACGAAACATGAGCGCTCTCAGCTTATCACTGCCACCTATTACTCATACAGGTTGGTATAGGTGTACAAGCCATAGCAGAACCAGAGCAGAAAAGACAGCGAGCCACCACAGGTTAACCATTAAACCATAAGTAAACTGAGGGACAACGTCAAGTCACTCCGGCCACCATTACCACTTCAAAGAGATAAAGTGGTTATGGTGCAGAGAGTGTTCCTTTAATGCCACAGATCTTTGACTTCTCAAGTGATTTCTCTTTAATTCCCCTAAAGTGTGAATTCAATAGAATTTCACACTGAATTTCTAATTTTAATTGAAAACTCACCTTAAAACGTGAAATTCTCTTTGAATTCCTGACAAGTCATAGTTTAATTAATAGCCCTGTTTAAGTGTCAAAACACTTACGAACTAGAATCAATTGCGCTCTAACATTACGGCTACTGCTGAAAACATACAGAAATTCTGTAGAATGTAAGTTGACTTTTATTTATTTTTTTCTTGATTTTTCGCATTTCAAAAATAGTCCTCATGGGAACTCTATTGCAAAATTTGTAATGTAATTTTAGATGAAGAAAGGGGGGGGGGAAGCTTAATTAAGGAAAATTTAAATAGATTTGCATTAAGAGTGGAAAATTGAAATTTTAAATTTTATGAATTTTTAATATTACTAATCAACAAACTAAAAATCATACAGTAAAAATAAATTGCTAAGTTACAAAAACTAATAAACGTTGGTACATCGCAATCAGCCTTTCTGTATTACCGTCAGTATTATTAGAATGTGAAAGAAAGAACAATAATGGTTTCTCTGCCTAATTTGCACTTTAACTCAGAAAATGTAGATATAAGTAGTGAATAAAAAAAAAAATGTGAATGTCAAAGAGTTAAAAAAAAGTTTGAAAGTGTATTATTAATGCCATCCAATCTGTTAAGGCAGTTCTATCTTGTGTGACAGATTCACAGTTCTGTATTATACTCTTCAATTCAAAATATACTTTTAGTTTGAAAGGGACACTATTGGCACCAAAACAACTTTTGCTTAGTGAAGCATTTTCGATGTATAGATCGTGCAGTCTCATAGTGTCCCTTTTAAACGCATTCAAAACAAAATTATTGCTTGTTACCTTTTTAACCTTATTCTTGCATTTTTACAAACCAAAACACAATAAAATGCATTATTACCAATTACTGGGATAAGCATTATATAACATTGAAAATAAATTTGTGTCAGTTGGTTTTCTTTTTAAAGAATATATGTAGTTTTTAATTTGCCAAGATGCTGGTAAATCTCACATAGTGAGTGTGCATTCTTCCTTTAATGTACTTCTGCCTAGCTACGGCCCTCATTTTCAAACACAAACGACAAACTAGTATTTTCCTTTTCGATGGTCGTTCTCTTGGCTCACTGGCTGGCCAAGTCTTTAATTAGTAATGAATGATCTCAGTTTACTACAGGGCACCATCTGTTCCATTGTAACAATTAATTAAACCTTTTGTTACTCAAGGTTGAGTTCTGGGTAGTGATGTCGCGAACCCGAAATTTTCGGTTCGCGAACGGCGAACGCGAACTTCCGCAAATGTTCGCGAACCGGCGAACCGGCCGAAACGCCATTGACTTCAATGGGGAGGCGAATTTTAAAACACACAGGGACTCTTTCTGGCCACAATAGGGATGGAAAAGTTGTTTCAAGGGGACTAACACCTGGACTGTGGCATGCCGGAGGGGGATCCATGGCAAAACTCCCATGGAAAATTACACAGTTGATACAGAGTCTGGTTTTAATCCATAAAGGGCAGAAATCACCTAACATTCCTAAATCACAATCAATATGGATTGACACCTGACATATGACATGTTGACCCCTTGACATATGGATTGACACCTGTCCTCAGAGCCCCTGATGCACACGGACACAGAGCAGAATAGAGACTGGTCCCCCTACATAGGGTCACTTGGCAGATATGGATTGACACCTGTCCTCAGAGACCATGATACACACTGACACAGAGTAGAATAGGGACTGTTCCCCCTACATCGGGTCACTTGGCAGATATGGATTGACACCTTGTTACAAACTGCTATTTGTAACGGGCCCTTTAAATGGCAAATTGCCCTGCTTCCCTGGGTTGTGGAGAAGCCTATTTGCCAGCCTCCTCCCGCATGACTATGGCCCCTGGGAGATTGTGAAAATGTATGCACTTTTATTTTGTGTGTATGGCCCTTTAAGACTGTCGGTGGGCATATTGGGGCTTATGGACTCTTTATGTGACTGGTGCTGGCCCTTTAAACACCTTTTTTGGGACATCAGGAAGATTGGGACACTGCCCCTTTAAGGCCGTGTCCCCAGACTTGTTGGGGACACGGCCCCTTTAAGACGGTGTCCCCTGTGTCCCCAGACCTGGTGCAAACCCTTTGTGCCTGCCTTGCTATTTCCCCACTTGGTTCAGTAAATGGGAAATTATTTCAGCTGCAGAGACTAAGTCCCATTCGGCGATGGGACTTAGTCTTTTTTTCAGCCGTTCTTTTCAGCCTTATTTCAGCTGCAGAGACTAAGTCCCATTCGGCGATGGGACTTAGTCTTTTTTTCAGCCGTTTTTTTCAGCCTTATTTCAAGTTAGAGAGACCAAGTCCCATCTCGCCATGGGACTTAGTCTTTCAGCCGCTCTTTTCAGCCTTATTTCTTGCTGCAGAGACCAAGTCCCATCACATGGACTTAGCTATCTTTTCAGCCCCTTAGCTGCAGAGACTAAGTCCCACCGCATGGGACTTAGTCGTTTTTTCAGCCTGAAATAGATCGACCTCACAGCCCAAATCTATGGAACTGTTTTGGGCAGGAAAATGTGCTTGCGGTCGGTCATAAAGGGACCTCCAGCTAACTTTTTAACCCCTGGATGGATTTGGCTGATTTTTGGTTATGTTTTATGTTTTAAGTGTGCTGATTCCAAATATGTAATTATGAAGATGGGATGTGTAGTTTTAAAGTTACAGGGTATGGCTAAAAACTGTATTTTTACTGCCTGTGTTTAATTATATTAATCTCTTCCCAAACGTCATTTCGTTCAAAGTGGAGAGAATGTTAAAAAAAAATATTTTTGTTCGGAGTGTGAGAAATGCTTTTCAGCCGCTTCTAATCTTAAGCATCATTTGAGGAGCTATACAGGAGAGAAACCTTATTTGTGGTGTGTTTAGTATTGTTCTGATCAGTTTAATATCTTCCGCGTCTCCTATCAGTGGACGTGTATATGGCAGCCATTTTAGGAACCGTACACCTGGGACCCGAGCAAGGTCACCTCGTTCAACAGGCGACAACATTTGCCCCTGGGAAACTATCCTGGACATCCTGTACAATGCGTATGCATATGGCAGTGGATTTCTGCAATGTGGCATGCAGCCAAGAGTATGCTTTGGTCGGTCCTTCCTTAATTCAAATTTGGGGCACTGCGCGGTCAAGCTAATGTGCCACCA